GCTGACAATGTTTCCGTCAGCTTCAAAGTTCACTTTCTAATATGCCATGTTGGGTATTATGAAATATTAGGTATTTCATAACATACAAAACAAAAAACGTTAGAGATTAAACTGAGAGAAAAAAACTAAATGAGAAGTCAGAAGTTTCAGAACAAGAAAAAAATCGAATATTCAAAGACCCTCTGTTAAGATATTAGACCGACTCTCTAGACCTAAACATATTATAGATAGCTCCAATGTTAGCAACGAGGAATCATTCCATTCTGATGTATCACCTGTAACGAACTTCATGTCTTCAATTAAAAAACCAGAAAACAAAGACACTGAATGTAATGGAAAACTCTCTGAAAATTAGCAAGAGGAAATTTGTATTCAATGCTTCAACTGTATTCTGTGGGCCTATATTGACTGTACCGAAGACGGAAAAAAGATTATATTCGTGACTTTTGTAAATAGATTCAAAACAGAAATGACTGGCATGTTATCATGAAAATATATTTTTATAAAGTTAAAAATAACTACGTTTTATGAATTCTAATTAGTTTTTTCTATGGTTTAAACCACCTATTTCATATTACCTGACTATTCCAAAATAATTTTCATTTGTAACTATTTTATAAAAAAAAAAAAATTTTCTCAAAAAAAATAGAAATAGTATTTTTTGACAGTGACAATTTATCACAAATGGTTAGAGTATATTCTCATGATGATTGGAGGACTTTTAATACAAACCAATTAAGTTATTATTAGAAATTTGTATAAAGAATATATTCCATAATACTCTCCTCTCATCTACTGTTTCTTCACCAGTTCATTAAGCCTTGTGTTCACTGCACACGAACAAAAGACCGATAATTTGGGTCTTTGTCTTAACGAATACTATTTTTTTCCTAAGCTGAGGGAAAAGATGGTAAATGTATTTCAATGATAAAAATGTTTTGGAAGATATGAAAAATTAAAGAACCCGGCTTAATGCACAAGTGGCTGAAGAGTATGACATGGAAATTTTGAAGCTTGTGAACAGATAAGACAAATGTTTAAAAATAGGAAATGATTATGTAGAGAAGGAAACTTATTACTTTCACCAATAAAAATTGTACTTTTCGTTTCATATAACAAAGCGATCCTTATTTTTTGGATGACCCTCATATCTTTAAAAATAGTACTTTTCATTTTCATTAGAAGTAGAAAAATAAAGTTGCTGAAATGGACTAAATTCATGATGGTCACATGATAAAGGAAATCACATGTTTCCCATTATTAATAATTGATATACTAGTTGTTCACCTTGTAAAGTTTAGATAACATTTAAAATTTGATGATTGGGTAAAGAATTCACGTGTGTTAAAATTCTCCAAACAGTTTTCAAAATTTAAAAAAACTTACAATATACGAGTACTTTTAAATTAAGTATTTTGAGTATTTTGTTTAACTATGTGCATTATTATATCATTGACAAGTATGCACTTTCTAAAAGAAAGTTTCTGCAAAAAGAAGAAGTTGGCGACAGTGAAGCACATGAACTAATTGGCTGGAAACGCGTGATTACATTTATGACATAATTATGACGTCGTATTAATTTATAAACTGATTGGCTGAAAACACGTGACTGGGTTATCGTGGCACTATGACGTCACATGAATTTAATCCATTGGATTAATTTCATAATAAATCAAATCACATATTCTCTATTGAATTCATAAATGACTTAGATTTTTACTTGTTGTTTTACTTTTATCTAGATAAATAATTTCAAAATTGATAATTTGGTAAAGAGGCTCAAGTATAAAGACTCTTCAAAAAGTTTTTCAAAATTAAAAATAAAATTCTTATATTACACTACTAGAGTCAAAAAGTTCCCGGAATGGCCCCGAAATTCATGCAGGTGTCTTTGAAGGGGAAATGTCTGTTTCGGGGGTTGGCAGCACTAATAAGGAAAACAGACAGCCATCCTGTACTGTTGGCGTAAGCTGCAGATCATTTCTGACAAAGCGAATTTTTCATTCATCGGATTTTGCAATGTCGTCTTTGGAGCAGCGTTCAAATATCAAATTCTGTGTTTTTCTCGAGATATCACCTGAAAGACGGTCGAGATGCCGGAGAAAACATATGGAAACGATTCTAACACCAGAGGAATGAATTTTATCCGTTTCTATGGCTGAAAATGAAATTGAAAGGACATCGTTTCGTGGATTTAGATGAGGTGATCCAAAATGAGTCATTTAGCATATGAAGTCCACAATCTTCTGCATCGCATGCCCTCCAGGTTTCTACATCTTCTTCATTTCATTCTTGAAGTCCTGGGATCGATTGGACAAAGTCGGTAATCTCCTCCCTATGGTCTTCATTGAAGTCTTTTTCGCCTTCTTAATCTGCCCACAGCTTATTCCATGCATTTTTCAGGCTGTGTCTTTCGAGAGTGTCCCAGACTTCGGCAAACATGTGGCAGGCGTCCTTCATATTGAACTTTTCAGCAACACTCTCTTCATCGTTTTCTGCCAAAAGTAATCTCCGTAAAACTTTTTTCTAGACGTTGCGCTTCCGTTTTGAATTCGAAGCCATAACAGTTCACAACTCAACACGTATGCAACCCCTCACTTGGAAACAAACTGACCTAATATACCAAATTACACAACTGAAATTCCCCAAATATCCCTGACCTTGGGTTTTTCCATCACTTTTGGCCTCACGTGAAACAAATGTTGAGAATTACACTGTTCGAAAAGTATTCATATACAGTACATGTAGTTGACAAAAAAATCTGGTCCGGATAATAAACGTTCGGATAAACGACATTCTACTACTGTGTGTGTGTGTGTGTGTGTGTGTGTGTGTGTGTGTGTGTGTGTGTGTGTGTGTGTGTGTGTGTGTGTGTGTGTGTGTGTGTGTGTGTGTGTGTGTGTGTGTGTGTGTGTGTGTGTGTGTGCGTGCGTGCGTGCGTGTGTGTGCGTGCGTGCGTGTGTGTGTGTGTGTGTGTGTGTGTGTGTGTGTGTGTGTGTGTGTGTGTGTGTGTGTGTGTGTGTGTGTGTGTGTGTGTGTGTGTGTGTGTGTGTGTGTGTGTGTGTGTGTGTGTGTGTGTGTGTGTGTGTGTGTGTGTGTGTGTGTGCGTGTGTGTGTGTGTGTGTGTGCGTGTGTGTGTGTGTGTGTGTAATAAAATAAAAATGAAGAAGTACTAGAACCTACAGTGCTAAAGAAGGAAGAGATTGGAATTCACCAGACACTATATACACTGGTGTGCAAAAATTAAGGACGAAGTCGAAAAATTAGCATATCAGCTGAACGAAGAGGCAGAGCGGACAGAAAGACCATTCAGGAGATTAAGTAAGATGATGTACGGTAGCACATGTGCAGATATTCAGGTAGACGTAATGGGGGAGTGTCTGAGTAGTATAAAGCATGTTGTCGGTGTAAGATCAGTATTTCTGGCAAAGAGATTGCACGCCGTATAGCAGTTAAAATCACACCGAGTTGCTGCCTCAGCGAGAAAATGGAGAATAATCAATCTGTTAGACGACATCTGGATGCTTTTACCCGAGGTCGAATCATTGGGAAGTTGGAGCAAGGCCGCGATGTGACAAGTGTGGCTGCAGAGTTCGGAATTGCTCACAGCATCGTTTCACGACTTTGGAGACAATTTCAAACTACAGGAACAGCTATCCGGGGTTCAGTAGTGGTCGTCCACAAGGAACCACACCCGCAGATGACCGGTACATTGTCTTACAGGCCAAAAAAAACAGGTGGCAGACAGCGGGAGAAATCGCTAGACACACGACACAGGCGACTGGACGACCGATATCGCGTTTTACCGTGGCCAGAAGACTGCACGGTGGTGGTCTGTTTGCACGACGCCCTGTACGGTGTGTACCTTTAACGCCTGCCCATCGGAGAAGGCGTTCTCTGTGGTTTCGGAAACACCGGAATTGGAGAGACAATGAATGGGGACGAGTACTCTTTACAGATGAGAGCATATTCAGTTTGAGTAGCGATTCTCATCGCATACTCATCTGGAAGAGCGGAGAAGCCGCAATCATCCCTCGTACATCATTGAAAGGGACAGGTATGGAGGTCGCGGTGTTCTCGTTTGGGGAGGCATCATGCTTGGTAGTCGTACAGACCTTCACATCTTCGATGCAGGTTCAGTCAACGGGACCCGTTATTGTAACGAGATTCTTCTTCCATATGTGCGTCTTTTAGAGGCGCTATGGGTCTGCAGTTCCTTTTCATGGACGACAATGCACCATGTCATCGCACAGTAGCTGCCGAACAGCTCTTAGAGAGTGAGGATATTGAACGTATGGATTGGCCGGCACGATCTCCGGATCTCAATCCCAACGAGCATGTATGGGATTTTCTAGGCAGACGCTTGGCAGCTCGTACCTTACCACCAGTAACGATTCGGGAGCTTCGATTGGCGCTGCAAGACTAATGGGCAGCAATGCCTCAACAACTCATTTACACCCTCATTCTCAGCATGGGCAGACGCTGTGAAACCTGCCTAGCAGTCAGGGAAGATCATATCCCCTACTAAAGACCGGATGTTTCTTGCTGGACACCCATCACAGGGATGTTAGGGCCTTCAGTCGCATTGCGCTCCATGCTACTTTTTCAATCAAGCTTCTTTTATCCCTCTGATTTCTCTTTTAGTAAGTGTTGCTTACATTACACATGTCCTTACGTATTGGGGATCTTACGGTATTAAATGTGTTGATTTGGAAAGCTTTTGTACAAAGTTATATTGAAAAAAACCGTCTCGTCCTTAATTTTTGCACACCAGTGTATATATATATTGTGCAAGTTTTCAATCATTAATAAAATACTTTCTATCCATCCACTCAAGTTCAAATACATTTTTTAAAACTTGTAGTGGATGTGTGTGTGACACTTGATGTTCATACATTTTTTCAAATATTAATTCATTAATTAAACTAAAAAATGAATAAATAATAACAAACAAAAATAATAGTCCAACAACATATATAGAAAGAAAAATCATTCTTTGAGTCCCGTAGCGCAATGGATTGCGCGTTGGACTACTAATCCAAAGGTCGTGGTTTCGAATCCCATCTGAGATGGTCTAATTTCTGAGAATGTGGGGTTTTTTACTACACACTATTTTATTCGAATAATTAAATCTAATTAATGAATAAATAGTAACTAAAAACAAAAATAGTCGAATACCGTATATAGAAGGGAAACTGGAAAATTGCAATTAAAATCGCTTTTTATTTTGTCACTTGATATTGTGATTCTATCATATTTATATACATATTTATAATAATCGTAACTATTTAATAAAAACTAATTAAAATAAAATAAATTTTCCTTTGTTGGCCTAATTTGAAATTGACTTAAAAAAATTTTTATATTACTTGTTTTTAAAAATTTGTGTAAAATTTCAGAGAACTTTTATACTTATCTTTATGTGCGCTTTTAAATCAAGTGCATTTTGCGTACCTATGAGTTGTAATTATTGACAAGAAAAGTTTCTGTAAAAAGTAAAAGTTGGCAACAGAAAAGTGCATAAAATTATTAGATTGAAACACGATATTGCATTTATCTTGTGACTATAACGTCACTTGCATTAATGAACTGGTTGGTTGTGTGTGTGAAAACACATGATAGCTGTAATCACGCGATAATGATGTCACAATAAAAAGTGATTTGATATATATAAGGAGTTTTTTCAATCAATATTTTTTACTTGAGCAAAACATGTATTATAAAGACATTTACCCTACTTCCTTCTTTATATCGAGATAATCACGTTCATTAGTTCTTTTCACGAATCGGACGCATGTGTTTTTGTGGTATTGTTCCATTGATTCTTCAATAAGCTTAGTGATATGAGCTAAAAAAAATAGAATTCTCAATTAATTTTATGCAAAAATACACAACAAATAACCGCAAGAAAAAATTCAACACTTCATGTTTACCAAAATTACTTTCAAACAGTGGAATATTAAAGTATACGTTAGTAAATAAAAAAAATGTGTGCGTGTATCAGTATGAACACGCAGTAGAAGTTAACTTCTTTGGCTTATATGTATTGAATTGCACAGTTAAGTTTTATTTTAAAATATTGTTTTATTAATAAATTTTGTTATTATCATTATATATATATATATATTACTTGAAACTGTATTTTAAAAAATAATTAGGATGGAAAAAGAATTAGTATAAACAAAATTTTCATTTTCAATACGTAATACTAAAAAAAAATTATGGAAAAGTGTATCTTTATTATTCGTCTATTTCCAATATGCTTATGGGTGTTTCGGTACATACTTTTGTTATCAAAGGCTTGTGGTAACTAATGTAAAAAATGTAGGTTTTGCACTCAATATCTCATTTAGGAATCTCGGAAACAGTGCATTAATCGTAGTATTTGATTTTGTCGTCGATATTATTCTGTTATTCTGCGAAATTGTCTTTTTCCGTCTTTAATTTCTTCTATTTGAGGTAAATCTGGAAACTCAAGCCACACATACTGTCTTAACTAATCCTTCATCATTTGTTTCTACATGAACTAGCTTTCCAAATCACCATTTGCTAATCCATCTGTCACACAAATATTTGTGGCAATCATGTAATAAATATTATTCACATAAACTGTTTTATAAGGCAATCCATTTGTATCAATTAATGACATCTTATGTAATTTTTGACGTACGAAAGTTTTCTTTTTTTTTAAGTACAACCAATATATACATCTTTTGCAGTTGAAGTTATTCTGTCCGCATATTCATTCAATATTTTATTATTATATTCATTGACGCAAGCTTCAGCTTCTTCCACAATACAAAAGCAAGACTCAATCGGAGTTATTTGCATTTCATCAAGTTGTTCGCCGTTTCAAGTTTTTGTAAGTATAGCAGAAAATTGTTCATTCGCTTGACGAATGACTTAATTTAGTTCATAAAATTTTAGATTTCGCTATAAAATCGGTCCAACGATGGTCTGTTTTGGTTGCTTATAGATGAGTGTAGAACGAACTGGTTGTAGTTGACGTAAATCTACTCTTAAAATAATTTCTAATCCATCAAAACTTGACTGAAAATTTCCAGTTATTTATTTTAATCTGGATTGAATCTTCAATAATAATTGAGCACTGATCATACTTATCTCATCAATGATCATGCGTTTGAAGTATTTGAAAAGTGATCTGTATTGTTGAGCAGTTTCAGAATGTAACGGAAGTAATCTTGATAAAGAAATCTTTAAAGCTGTATGAACAGTCGTTCCTGAAATAGCAACTGCTGCTTTACCTGTTGAAGCACAAGTTACATATACATAACAGTATCCATCATTGTCCGTATAGCAAACATAAATTTCCATCAAAAGTTTAATGACGAACGTTTTACCGCATCCGGCAGGGCCCTTAAAAATATTTGAAATGGAGTTCGATCTGATGATAAAAGATGCAAAATAACAATATTTTGTAAAAAATATATATACCATATCGTTACGAAAAAAATGATCTTTTCGATTTTGTAATTATTTTTTGTGTGATATAGATAATAAGAATTAGATGGTTTTTTTAAAAACGTGGGGAAAGTCGGAACATCATACACTTCTACCTTACGTTTATCGCGTAACCGTAACTGGTAACGCGTAACGAAAGCTTTTCGCTACCGTGCCATAAGAAGTTAACTTCAAAAACTAAAATATTAAAAAAAATTAATAAACACAAATTTTAAAGATGTTTAAGTTTATTAATACAATTGATATTATTCTATCATTATTCTTAAATGAAAAAAATATTCTTCAAAACTTGATGTGTTTGAAATACTTTTATTAAATGCTTTTTAAATTTAATTAGATAATTTTTATAATTTCTAGAGTTCATATATCTAATTTAAAAACACCCCTATCTGTTATAGTCCATAACACAACATGCTGACACCTTTTTAGGGACGCTATTATATCAAAATGAACCCCAAAATTTTTTAAACATTTAAGACTTTATAAAAGCATTTTAATATGTATGGGCAAGAAATTTATCCCACTCATAAATTATAAACCAAAAATTTCAACAAACGGAAATATTGACAATCAGTTCCCCTCAAATGCATAGAATTATAAAAATTAATTGTTTTTATATACACTGAAGTGCTACTGAATTAGGGATAGCAAGGGCTATGCAAATTGTGTAGCACTGCGCATCATTTATGCGCAAGTGAGGAAATTGGTGTAACTGCACATATAGCGCGTATTGTGGTTGCTCTGCATTAGTTGTTTGAATTTCCAGTATGGGTAAACTGCCTGATTTAGACGCCTTCGATTGCGGACAAATCGTACGTGCATGACGCAAAGGCCATTCAATTTCCGAAATCGTCTGACAGCTAGGATTTTTAAGGTCGACTGTGTCAAGAGTATACCAAGGATACATGGATAGTGGACAAAAAACTAGCGATCGGGCAAACTGCAACGGACAATTAGCCTTGACAGTATGTGGTGAGAGGTGGCTCAGGCGTATTGTACGTATCCAGCAAAACCAAACATTACCTCAAATTACCACCTTGTTGAACGACGGTGGCAGTTGTACAGTCAGTAAATGGTCAGTGCAGCGCTAGCTTCACCGTATGGGCTTCGGGAGCCGTCGATCTGCGAGAGTTCCATTGCTCAATGCTCGCCATCAGGCTGTACGTCTTGCCTGGGAAAGAGAGCCCATAAAATGGAGTGTAGAGGACTGGAAACGAATAGCATGGAGTGATGAGTCTCGATTCCACCTACTTAATGCTGACGGGAGACTGAGAATATGGCCTCAGGCTCATGAAGGTATGGATCCTGCATGCCAGGTTGGAGCTGTATAAGGGCATGTTGACTCAATCATGGTCTAGGATGTTTCTTCGGGGCACTATTTGGGATCTTTAGTGTGTGTACCAACCTCTCTCAATGCAATTATGTACGTTAAGTTGCTGGGGGATCACTTCCATCCGTTTATGCTGTTTTGGTATCCACACAGTAATGGAGTTTTCCAGCAAGACAACTGTACCTCTCACAAGTCGCGATTGGCTAATGGCTGGTTATAATGAGCATTCCTCTGACTTTTTATTATAAATTGACCACCTAGAAACCCAGAATTAAATCCTATTGAGTATCTTTGGGATTTGGGGGGACAAGGCGGGGAAAACAATCACACAGCGCTAACGAACATTACTGAATTATGGACAGCTTCAGCCAATATTTGGCAAGTCATTCCCGTGAAACGCTTCCAGAAACTTGTTGAAACTATGCCTCGTCGTGTGGCAGCCGGTATCAAGGCCAGAGAAGGCCCAACTCATTACTAGTTAGGTATCATTAATTTAGTGGCACTTCAGTGTGTATCGAGAATGTACTATAGTTAATTACCATTTTGTGTCATACTAATATAAATATAAAGGATTCAAAATTTAAAAATTTTTAATGAAACTTAAAATTATATAAATATTTTTAGTTTTAATTTACCTTTAAATATAGCATTATGCACCTTTTATTTAAATCTATCATTTTTGGCTTCACACAGGCTTAGGATCTTTGACCCCTCTTCATTCGAAGCGCACGCCACCTACATGCGTACTTCCCTCGTAGTTTTCCTTCAAAATAGTTTAAAACTTTTCAAATTTTCACTGTTTTGGGCATACCTTCGCCACCAATACTAACCACAATTTATAGCTGAATGTATTTAAATACCTGCAACTGGAAAACCAATATTTGTATTCTATGAAGTCTCTTTCAAACACTAATGGGTCTTCGCCCTTTGAGCAGGAGCAGAACCCTGTCGAAAGTTCCATTCGTTTCCATTGAAATGGTTTACATTTAGGAGCTCCACTATTGGTTCTAAAACACTGCATGGATAATCTTATTCATATTTTTTACTCCTTTCTGTCACAATTGTACTCTTCGGATACTTTCTTAGCCGATATCCCCTAAACAATTACGGAAGCTGGCTGTAGAGCTCTTTGAATGCATTTTTTCTTCTCTTGGACATACCTTTGGTATACATGTTAATTCTGGTAGTTGAAAAATAGTTCAATCTCATGAAAGATTTGTCTGTGGCCATCATGAGTATGCCAACGTAACACTGCTTTTG